AAAAAAAAAAAAAATTGTAGTAGGAAGGGCGGGGGAGATGGCTCGGTGGAATAAGCGCTTCCCTGGCAAGCGCAAGGGCCTGAGTTCAAGCCCCAGTTCCGCCAAAAAAAAAAATTGTAATAGGCGAGGGGAAGGACCTCGGTGTAATTGGTGTTTCTTATTAATGAACGGGAAAGGTTTGTGTCAGCGTACCCTAAAGAAGGGTTTATAGGGGCCGGGGAGATGGCTCAGTGGAATAAGCGCTTCCCTGACAAGCGCAAGGGCCTGAGTTCAATCCCCGGTTCCGCAAAGAAAAAAAGAAAAAGAAGGGTTTAGTTTGCATCCATCCGGTCACCCTGTCTTACGAGGACTGCAGCATACTGAAAGCCTTAACTCTACTTCAGATGATGCTTCCCAGATGGACTTATTCCACCGAGATTCTGATGATGATCAAGTTGAAGAACAGCTTGATGAGACAGAAGCCAGGTGGAGGAAGGAGCGATTTGAACGGGAGCAGTGGCTTCGGGACCAGGTAGAAAATCTGCAAGAGGGCCAGTGAGGTAGCCCTTCAGATTAAGCACCTGCTTTGGCAAATGCAGGGACCAGGATTTGATCCCCAGTCCCATGTGCCGCACCGGCCCTGCCCCTTTTAGGGCGCACTGAGCCAGCAATCAAGTTCGGGCATGGTGCGCATGCCTGTAATCCCAGCACTGGGGAGGCTGAAGACAGGAGGATCACTAAGAGTAAGCTTCGTAGTGAGACGCTGTACCAAATACATAAAATGAGAAAAAAAGAAAATCTGCAAGAAAGTTGAGCATGGTGGGGCACACCTATAATCCCAGAATTCAGGATTGCTGCAGTTTGAGACCAATCTGGGCCACATAGTCAGTTCAAGGCCTGTGTGAACTACATTGTGAAAACCTATCTTTAAAAAAGTCCGCAAGAGAATTAATTGCCTGTTATGAGGATGAGCGGACCCAGTCATTGAGTCTGCACAAAGGAAAACATAATATCCCAGTAACCAACCAAGCTTCACAACCCAGGAGGTGCCAGCTATTTAAGGAAGCTATAGGTTTTTCTTTTCATGCTGTATGGTTGTATTTTTAGGCCCAGCAGGGGAAGAGTACAGTTGAAGAAGAAGAAATTGGGGAAGACAGTCAGTTCATGATGCTAGCCAAGAAGGTTACAGCCAAAGCATTGCAGAAGAATGGTGAGCGCTTGTTTCTCCTCAGGATGTGATCCCTTGGATTGTTAGTTTGGGGGTTTTGGGCTGCTAAAGCTTAGTTATAAGCTTGTGTCTAATACTGTCTTAAAAGAGGCTGCACAGAGGTGTGCACAGGGTATACTGCAGTCTTAGACTACTGGATAGCAGAAGTACTTTGCAGTCAGTCGCTGACTTTGTCTTACGTTCTGAGCCTCTCTGGATTCTCTTATTAAATTGCTCAGGATGATATATCTAACGGGGGCCGGGGAGATGGCTCAGTGTAATAAGCACTTCCCTGGCAAGTGCAATGGCCTGAGTTCAATCCCCAGTTCCACAAAAAAAAAAAAAAAAAAAAAAAGATATATCTAACTGTATTTATAACCAGGTATACTTAACTCCAGAAGTGAAGCTCTTGGGGGCCTGCCCCTTAGCTCAGTTCTTTAAGTGGCTGCTTCAACAAAGCAGTCAGGCTCAGGTTGCTGTGGTTCGATCCCCACAACACAAGACAGCCAGTCATGCCTTGAAGGCATTCGGCACAAAAAGAAAAAAAAAACAGAAGTGAAGCTCTTAAACATTGGTCTATATTCTTACCAAGTTTTCTTTTTTTTTCTTAAATCATTCCTGTTAGTGATTAAGTGAGAAGTTCTAAGAACTTAATTGTCCATCTTTTTGGAGACACTGTAGTTTCAAAGACACCGTTAAAAATTATGTGGAGTGGGCCAGGGAGATGGCTCAGTAGGATAAGCGCTTGACTGGCAAACGCAAGGATCTGAGTTCAATCCCTGGTTCTGCCAAAAAAAATAAAAATAAAAAAATAAAATTATGTGGAGTTCCTGTGGCTTACTGAGTTACTTTCAAAGCTTCTTAGTGTTTTCAGATTTAAACATGATTTTACCCAGCTTTGCTGTCTTTTCTTTCCAGCCAATCGGCCTGTGGTTATCCAGGAATCAAAGTCTGTACTCAGTAACCCTTTTGAAGCTATCAGATCTAGAACTCCTCACCAGGTTGGTTGGAACCTTGGCAGTCTGACATCATGGTCTGCAGGGTTTTGTGTTTTTAAAGGGATGGCAGGTATTTGTTTTTGTGGTATTTGGGACTAAATCCAAGGTCTTTGCACTGAGCTACAACCTCAGCCTTTCTTTTACTTTTTATTTTGAGACTAGGTCTCACTAAGTTGCCCAGGCTGAGCTCAAACTCACAGTACTCACCTGTGCCACTGTGCCTGAGCATAGTCCGCAGGTTACAGAGTAGGGAATAGGCTCTCATTATGGGAGGGCGGTAGCCACAGGAAATGGGACTAGAAATCAAAAGAGCCCACTTTTTCTTTGCTACTTGGTAGAATAAGAATGTCTCCTCAGTACCTGGGGGAGTAAAGGAGAGAATAATTTTTCTCTGTTTGAGATTTGGTAGCGTATGACTCTTGTTCCCTTTAGCTAAGAACAGGCTCACTGCTAAACCAGCCCAAAGCTGTGCTTCAGAAACTGGCTGGCCTCTCGGACCTCAACCCCAGTGCTCCCCGAAATTCAAGAAACTTTGTCTTTCATACACTTTCTCCTGTCAAGGCTGAGGCAGCAAAGGAATCATCTAAGCCTCAGGTAAGGATATTAAGAACTGATGTAGTACCTCCCTAAGCGGATTTCTTTTTTCTTTCTCTCTCTCTTTTTTTTTTTTTTTTTTTTTTTTTGAGAGAGAGAGAGAGAGGGTCTCGTTAAATAGCCCGGGCTGGCCTTGAACTTCTGCCTTATCTTCCTGAGTGCTGGGATTATAGATGTGTGCCACCATGCCCAGCCCAAAACAAAATTTTATTTATTTTACTAAAAAACAATGGGCCGGCCAAATAGCTCAGTGGATTAAAGTGCCTGCAAGCACGCCTAGGAGCCAGAGGTTTCCCCCAGGCCTGTGGAGAGGGCAATTGAGACTGGGTATGGTTGTGCACATCTGTAATCCCAGCATTGGGGAGGTTGTAAACAGGCAGATCACTATGAGTCAATCTAGTAATGAGACCCTGAACACTCTGTAGACCCTTCCCTAAAAATACAAAAATAATAATAATAAAATTTTTTAAAAATAAAAAACAGGGCTGGTGAGATGGCTCAGTGGTCTAAAGCACCTACTTACAACAAGCTAAGCTAAGCAAAGCACAGGGACTGCGGTTCGATCCCCCAGCACCACATGCCAGCCAGCCCCGCCCCCTGGTGGGCTGAGCTGGCCACACACACACACCAAATAAATAAATAAATAAATAAATAAAAATATAAAACAAAAGTTCTTTCAATCCCCAGGCCTGCCATCCTGGCCCCACCCTGGGGGCAGGCTGAGAAAACAGCAATTGAGACTGGGTGTGGTGGCATGCGCCTATAATCCCATCTCTTAGGAGGCTGTAAACAGGAGAATCACTAAGTCTAGTAGTCAGGCAGCTTGGGAGTTAGCTTAGTTGTTTTAAGTGACTGCTCTGGCAAATGCAGTCAGGCTCAGGGGACCCTAGTTCAAACCCCAGCTCCACATGCCTTACCAAATCCAACCTTAAGGCAGCCTGAGCCAGCCTCCAAAAAAGAAGAAAAAAATCCAATCTAGTAGTGAGACCCTGAACATTCTGTAGACCCTTCCCTAAAAATATTTTTAGGGGCTGGTGAGATGGCTCAGTGGTCTAAAGCACCTACTTAGAACAAGCTTAGCAAAGCACAGGGACCGCGGTTCAATCTCCCAGCACCACATGCCAGCCAGCCCCGCCCCCTGGTGGGCTGAGCTGGCCACACACACACACACACACACACACAAATAAATAAAAAAAAAAAAATATTTTTAAAAAAACCACACAACACCACCAAGGGTCGGGGAGATGGCTCACTAGAATAAGCGCTTCCTTGGCAAGCTCAAGGGTCTGAATTCAATCCCTGGTTCCACCAAAAAAAAAAAAACCCAAAAGTTCTGATAACTCAACGGATTAATGTGCCTGCTTAAGCAGACACGGGGTTCAATCCCAGCTCCATATGCCATGGCAGCCCCACCCCAGGGTATGCTGAGCCGGTGATTGAGACTGGGTGTGGTAGTGCGTGCCTATAATCCTAGCACTTGGGAGGCTGAAAACAGGAGGATTATTACGAGCCCCATGTGTGTAGTGAGATCCTATAGACCCTGTACTAAATACATTTTTAAAAGTTCTGGTCTAATAGCTTATACTACAGTATTAAAACCCTCCCCCACTAATATTCAATGGACTTTCCCCAGTAGATAAAGCCTGAAAAGTTTATGTCTATATTGTTATTGTTGTTATCCTCCTGTTTACTGTCTGTGATTGAACTCTGGGTTGCTTGAAAGCCAATTGAAGGCAAGTGCCTATGTGAGGGTCTTGCGCTGGCTCTGACTCCTTTTATGCTCTCTAGGTGAGGAGAAAAGGACCATCATTAAAGACATCCTTTTCTCCTAAGCGCCTCAAGACAGAAGATAGCAGCCCAGGATCAAAGCGAAGCATCTTTAGATACTTGGAAAGCTAACACCATCAAGGACGTCAGCGTCTGTGCCAAGACTTCTTGGTAACTCGGTACTAGAAACCGGCACTGAAGGTTGGAGCTGTTGCATATGCCGATGATCTCTTCTTCCCTCATAATCAGTGGTGCATTAAGATTGCAGACAGGATTCCAGTTCTTTCTACTGCTGGACCGTGGCTATCTTCCTTTCCTTGTATTTCCTTGGTTGGCCAACTCATCATAATTCTGCAGTGTTTCCAACACCGATTTATGGAATGCCTAAGTGAATCTTCATACACTCCATTAAACATTTGATAGTTTATCCCAGCACTGCCCTGGGTTTCCATCTCTTTGTGATAAAGGTAGTTGGGAAAGGAGGAAGTAGAGGAGGAGGGCAGAAAGTGGCGTTATAGACAGTGGTGAAAGTCAGTATCAGAGTGACTCCTGCATACCTGTGAGAGCTCTGCCATAGTAACGGAAGTCAGCGAAGAAGAGACTTCTTAGGTGATGAACCTTGGGACCAGCAGATGGACTGTTGTGACCTTTTCCATTTTTCTGTAGGCGTCTCAGGGCAGCCTCAGAGTTCAGCGTAGCTTTTTCTGCCTTTGTAGCAAAGGCTTAAACTGGTACCCAGTTCAGAAGGACCTTGACATGGACTGCCCCAGTGTCTGGCTGCATTAGACAGTCTGTGGAGCAGAGACCTTTCCTAGGACTAAGGGTTATAGTCACTTGCCACCTTTCTTGAACTCCCACAAAGCTTTCAGAATGTTAGACAGACTCTCCCCTGCCCCACCTCAGGACTGAACGTCCTTGCAGCTTTGAAAAGATTCCATGTGAGTATACTTTGAGTATCAGGAGCTGAATAGACTTGGGAAGGTGAATGGGATCATACCTTTTTTTGAGAGACAGGGAACACCAATTTAAGTGATAAAATGAGGGTGCCGTTGTTTCCTACAGTTTTTTCTAACACTCAAGATGCTGACCTTTTTTTTTTTTTTTTTTTTTTTTTTGTGGAACCGGGGTTTGAACTCAGGCCCTTGCGCTTGCCAGGCAAGCACTTATTCTACTGAGCTATCTTCCTGGTCCCTCAAGATGCTGACTTTGACAACTCACATTTGTAAATTTGTAATCTTATAATGGGGTAAATGTATATAAAGACGTTTTAATATGTATGTTGTTTTTCAATAAATCTCACTGGCTTCAAGGCAGAATTTGCTGTCCAGCTTGAATACTCATTGTTAGGTCAATGTCTGTCTGATGTTAGTTTCAAGGTATCACCCTCCCAGGAAAGCTGCCTGCGTCTGGATGAGAGGGTGCTGCAGTTGTCCCCTTTCTGTCTTCTGAGTCCCTGTGAATTGATTAAACTTACCTAATTGTCTAGGCTCAGTGCACCACAGGAGAGTTTAACACATGGTGCTGCAGCTCTTTGCATAGTGTTTTCTCTTTAGCTGGCTTTGCATATGTTTATAGCTGTAGGTCCAAGGTGAAGACCACTGCCTTTCTCTTTGAGCTCTAAATAGTGCAGGGGCGGGGGGGGGGTGGAATATGGCTTAGCAGGTAAGTGCCTGCCTGGCAAGCACAAGGTCCTGAGTTCAATCGCCAGTACGGGAGGGGGTGGGAGGGGAATAGTGCCCAAAGGACAGGCAGGCTAAAGAGAGCTGGGAAAAAGGACTAGAAATTTCTCCCCCTTTTTTCTACATCCCCTTTTTGAGGGGAGAGGTGAAGTGAAGGATTGGAATTGACCTGCTGAGGATAGGATCAGTGCCTGAGAAATCTGGAAAATCTTCTGTTTGTGACTCCAGGGGGAATTTTCTCTTTGGAGAACAAAAGTAGTCTTAAACTCTAGGTCACTTTCCCTCATGCCAAGACAGCTGCCACAAGGTTCGCTAATTTCTTCACCTTGGTAACAAGGTTGGAGTGGATGATTTCAACGTGATGCACATGCACTTTGCCCAAAGCACTAGCCAATCCGCACCATCTACATCTTAATGAAATTGGAGCCCCGGAGCTTGCCACTGTCTCCTGGTAGTATTAAGCTCCACCAGCTTGGAAATTGCATATTTGGAGGCATAAGAGTTTAGGAAATGAGAATGCTCAGTGTCAATTGTTTTGTCTTGTTCCACACGTGGGTAGGGTCCAGTGGAACTGATCCATTAAAGTAAGCCTTTCGTCTCATTTCTTTCATTTAGTCCACAAGCCATAGGTTTTCTTTCTTTTTTTTTTTTTAAGTTTTTATTTATTTATTTATTTATTTTGTGTGTGTGTGTGTGTGGCCAGCTCAGCCCACCAGGGGGCGCGGCTGGCTGGTATGTGGTGCTGGGGGATTGAACCTCGGTCCCTGTGCTTTGCTAAGCTTGTTCTAAGTAGGTGCTTTAGACCACTGAGCCATCTTACCAGCCCCAAGCCATAGGTTTTCTATGAAGGCTCAGCTTCAGTTCACCATAGCTACAGAGCCAATGTAACTGCTGTGATCTCTGTGGGATCCCTCATTTTGACTGCTTCTTTACAAACCCCTTCACTTTGAGAATTTCTTTTGTTTTGATTTTTGAGACAGGGTCTCACTACACAGTTCAGACTGGTGGTCTTAAACTTACTTTGTAGCCCAGGCTGGTCGCCAGCTTTCAGCCATTTTACCTCAGCCATCACAAGTGCTGAGAATTTCTACTTCAGGTTAGAAAATTGTAATACGTGGTTTTGGGTTTTATCTCCTAGTCTTATGCCTGGTAACTTGGGGCTGCTTTATCATAAAATTTGATGGTATTATTATTATTTTTTTTTTAATTTTTTTATTTTTTTTTTGCAGAAGTAGGGATTGAACTCAGGTCCTTGCGCATGCCAGAGAAGTGCTTATTCCTCTGAGCCATCTCCCCAGCCCATGATGGTATTATTCTTGAGACAGTATTTGTCTTCTATCTTACTATCTTTCTCATGGCCTGATATAGTCTGGGATGTAATAGTGCCTTAAAAAATCACACTTTTTAGAGTCTGTTTTGTATCTATAAAATTAGGATCCTAATTTATGCCTATCTCAGAGTTTTTGTGAACATTAAGTTCACAAAAAATATATATGTGCTATGTAAGCGCTACTCTGCAAACATTAGAAATTGCTAGTATCAGGGCTGGTTAAGTAGCTCAGTGGATTGAAGTCCCTGCAAGCAGGGGCTGGGGGTTCAATCCCTGGGCATGCCTTGCTGGCCCCACCCCTGGGGTGCACTGGAATGGCATTTGAGACTAGGCGTGGTGGCGCGTGCCTATAATCCCAGCCCTTGGGCCCAGGGTGATAGCTCAGTAGAATAAGCCCTTAAGCATTTGCCTGGCAAGCACAGGGAGGGTCCTGAGTTCAATTCCCTGTACTGCAAAAAATAATAAAGGGGCCGGGGAGATGGCTCAGTGGAATAAGCGCTTCCCTGGCAAGCACAAGGGCCTGAGTTCAATCCCCAGTTCCAAAAAAATAAAATGTAAAAGAGCCAGGGATGTAGCTAAACACTAAAGCCCTGCATTCTATTCCCCAGTATTGTAAAGAAAAGAGTTTTTAATGC